TTGTACTAGCAGGTCCTAGTAATTGTTGATAGGCTCTGACTGTGATGTTATAAGTTGTTAGTTCTCTCAGTCCATTCAGTGTGATTGTATTATTACCACTTCCCCCCACCTGTACTGTCTGCACAGTGTCTGTGTCACTAGTGACATTGACTACATATCCATCAGCATCAGATGAATCAAGTGCAGTCCAACTGACAGTGATAGTGGTAGCTGTCTTGTTGACCTCAGTAAGAGAAGAGGGAGCAGTTGCTGGTACTATATATATATATATGGTATCATTATTAAATTATTGACATATTACCTTTTATAGTTATGTTACGTATTCTATTTGTATAACCACTAGGATGATCTGCTACCCTGCACTGATACATTTGATCTCCAGTGGTTGATTGACTGATTGATCCACTACTGACAGTCATTCCATCCCATGTGATATTAACAGTATACCTTATTGTGTTGGTGCTATCAACTAACACAGTACCAGGACAAATACTATGATGATATTGACGGTCACGACAATTAGTGTAATTAGCCAGTGCAGTACTACCAATGCTCATACTAATATCATACACATAGTGTCCAATTTTAGTACAATTCAGTTTGTATTCCTGAGGATATACTGTCATATCAGAAGGGAGATCAGCAACAGTAAATGATTCTATCTCAGCAAATACTACAAATATAAATTATTACATCAGTAAGTGATTATAGTCTCCTCTTACTGAATATATTAGCTAACATGATGTTAGTATTAGGATCTAAACAATCAGTGGGTAGACAACACTTGTACCAACCATCGCCAAGTGGTTGAAGATAGCCATTATTTATGTAAACACCAAGTTTAGCACCAGATCCAACAGTGCAAAAAAGATTCAAGTTATTACCAGGACAAGGAACTACTCCATTAGGACCAATCCATTGTCCACCATTCAGAGTCTCATTAGATAACCCACACTCTAGAGGAGTTAGCCTAATACTACTATCCCAAAAATATGATCCATTAATATAACAGTTTCCGTCATGCATCAAGTAGATACCTATAAAAACCTATACAGTTGTTATTATACACATCCAGTGTCTTACCTGAGGAAGGTGGACATTGACTAATAACTTCACTGACACTCAACAAGAAGACAACAGACACCATTAGCACTGACACTGCCATTTTACACATTATACTATAGACTCTTGCTGTTGCTTATTTTCACTTTTAGACAGTTAAAATGAGTAAACTTAAAATATTATTGTTTTCTCTCCATGCAGTATTATGAATAATATCTTTATGCTTTTATAGCTTTAAGGAATAAACAATTAAACTATGCCAAAATTATCGTTGCACCTATGTATGTCAATTAGCTACTAAATCTTCAACATGCAATTCTAGTATTTTGTATTCCTATAGTAACTTTGATCAGTCAAACTAATAGAATTTTATTCATGAACATTGCTTCTTTTTAATGTCTAGACCAAAATGCTAAATAAAATTAATTTTCCCTTACCTTTACCAAACTATAGCCAATTAAAGTTAAACCCATCAAAGTATTCACATATTGAAATTTTATGATTTTACAATAAAATTTTTTGGGTTTAAAAACAATGAAAATTTTTCGCTTCTTTTTAATTTTTTCTAGTGTGGCTACAAGAATACAAAGCTACAAAACTTTTAAGGTAACAATCACAATAACAATTCATTGTGGCATAGTCTCATAAACAGCATCAGGTGACATTTGATATTCATCATAGACTCTTTCCTCTTCACTTAGTTTAGTCTTTTGAAGATCATATGGTTCACATACTTGCATTGCAATATCACCATCAGATCTACAATGTGATTGATGTACATCAGTTAGTAGCTAGTCTAGGGTCATACTTACTTTGCTTGTTTGGTACCCTTAGGACCTCTCATTCTAAAGGATATCAAATTAATATTTTATAAAAATGATTCATTAACAGTACCTTATAAAGGAATATATATTAAAAATGACACTGACAGTTAGTAGAATAATCAATACACCTACTGACACACTAAATGCAATATCTCTATCATTACATGATTTGTTTGAAGTAGTGCTTGGATATACTGCTACATGAATAATATTGAATGACAAAATTAGTAATAGACTTACTGAACACTGAAGGTAATGTTGATACTAATGTACTTGAAGGTGGTTGCTGCATTGGTAATTCTAGTGTCTCATTAGCAATAATTGTCCATAGTCCATATCCATTATCAGTGTATGCACGTACACCAAAAATATAACAAGACATATCAGTAAGACCAGTAATGTTAATGAATGTACTGTTACTGGGGGCATTGACAGTAATTAAAACATTTGCAATCAACCTATCAATAGCACCTAAACAGTTGTCAGGCTGTAATACATGATATCCTATCTCATATGTGATAATGGGATAGTCTGATGGAATATAACTAGGTACACTCCATGAGATAACAGCCCATGTAGTATCCATGATACTGGATACTGAACCAACTGGACCAGGTACTAAATAAAGACACATTCTCACAGAACTGATACAGTATAATAATTACATACCCATTCCAATCTCTACTACAATAGGATCACTGAAGGGACCTCTTCCAACAGAATTGACAGCAGCTACACTGATGTTATACTCAGTACCAAATACTAGATCATTTAATATGATATATCTCTCAGTACTAGTGAGGTTGTATGTGATACTACTGTTACTGATAATCACTGTATAGCCTGTGATTAGACCATTATGCTCAGAACAATTAACCTCATTCCAAGTGAATCTATTAGCTGTAAAATTTACAGGTAAAATTTGAATCAATGAAGGCCAACCACTAGGAACTATAAATTGTAAGGTAACTAAGTTAGTGAAATAAATAATATCATTACCTATTGGTTCAGTTTGTATAGATCTAGCCATGTTCAATTCAGATCCTCCTAGTACATTACCAGCTCTCACTGTGATGGTATAGTTCATGCCACTGTACAGACCTATTAATGTATAACTGTATGTTGTAGTGGACTGATGAGGAGCAACAGAGACTGTTTCATTCACTGATGATAACTGGGGACAAGATGGAGTATAGGAGATGGTGTAGTATGTTACATAGTTGTCACTACTGGGAATAGTCCAGTTCAGTGTAATACCAGTGGTTGAGACATTAGATACTGAGAGACTAGTTACTGGACTAGGAACTACAACAGATATCAATTACACTCTCTTAATGATAATAACTCACCATCAAATCTTAACACTGTTACTGTACTATTAACTGAAGGAAGATCTATATATGAGTACACACTGATGGTATAGGTACTCATTGGTGAGAGATCTGTTAGTACATTTTCAACTTCACTAGTAGATACTGCATTCCTGGTTACACCTCCAGCAGTATACTCAATCACATATCCATTAGTCTCTGATGAAGTGGTCCAGTTCACTTTCATGCTATTGGCATTTAATATAAACCCTCTCACATTATTTGGAGGACCACTAGGAGCTAGAAAAAAGACAAACAATCTACTATTGATTAAAGTATAATCATACCATGTAATATCACAGATTGACTGTAGTTGACTCCTCCAATCATTGCTATACAGGTAACATTAACTGACACTCCCAATGGATCAGGATATACCAGTAGTGTGTTGTTGTATGTCAGGACATCAATTGATGTATACATTGAGTTACTCTTCATCAATCC